GTTTGAAACTAATTATAACATGCTGTTGAGTTTATAACATACAAATGTAATATATTACATATATGACAGTAATAGACAAAAGGCAGAAGGAATGGAGCTATAGTTAGAGCAGAGTTTCTACATTTCACTGGAATTAAGTTAGTCTTAATCTGAAGTAGATTGTGATAAATTTTATTTTTTTTTAGAGAAGGGAGGGAGAGGGAGAGAGAGAGAATCCCAACAGGCTCCATGCCCAGTGTGCAGAGCCTGACGTGGGGCTTGATCCTATAACCCCAAGATCATGACCTGAGTCGAAATCAAGAGTCAGAAGCTCAACCGACATAACCATAAGAGAGCTGAAGTGGCTATATTAAATTCCTGACAAAACAGATGTGAAGACAGGAGACTTACTAGAAACTAAGATATTTCATAGTGATAAAGGGTCAGTACATAGAAAGATACAACAATAAATGGATATGCTCTAATAACAGCCTCTATACGTATGAAGCAAAATCTGACTGAATTGAAGGGAAAATAGATAATCCAATAATAATAAATGGAGGCTTCAATACCTCATTCTTGATAAATGATAGAAAATCAGCAAGGATACTGAGAAGACTTCAACAACATTATTCACCATTTCTGACATATATGGAACAATGATTGCAGAATACATTCTTATCACATGTACATGGAACATTCTCCGAGATAGATCATATGCTATACCACAAAACAAGCTTCAATATTAAAGGGGGATTAAAATCATACAACATACTCTGATCATAACAATTTAATTAGAAATCAGAAAGAGATCTGGTGAGTCCACAAATATTTGGAAATTAAAAAGCACACTTCTACATAGCCTATGAATCAAAGAAGAGGTCTCAAAGTATTTTTAATGGAATGAAAGCACAATATATCAAAATTTATCAGCTGCAGCTAAATCAGTTATTGAGGAAATTTATGGCTTATAAACACCTATATCAGAAAAGAAGAAAGGTCTCAAATGAAAATCTCACCTTGCGGGGCGCCTGGGTGGCTCAGTCGTTAAGCGTCTGCCTTCGGCTCAGCTCATGGTCCCAGGGTCCTGGGATCGAGCCCCGCATCGGGCTCCCTGCTCTGTGGGAGGCTTCTCCCTCTCCCACTCCCTCTGCTTGTGTTCCCTCTCTCCCTGTCTCTCTCTGTCAAATAAATAAATAAAATCTTAAAAAAAAAAAAAAAAAAAAAGAAAGAAAATCTCACCTTGCACCTTGGGAAACTAGAAAATTCCTAAAAAATTTTGTGTTATTAGAGCAAAGATAGGCATATAGATCAATGGGTTGGAATTGAGTCTCCAGAAATAAACCCTTATATTTATGGTCAGTTGATTTTCAATAAAGGTGCCGAGAGAATTTGATGGTGAAAAAATAGTTTTTTCAACAAATGGTGCTGGGAAAATCAAATAAGTCACATGCTAAAACCAAAATTAACTAAGACTCTTCATACCATATTCAAAAATTAACTCAAAATAGCTCTTAGACTTACATAGATGGGAGCTAAAACTAAAAATTGTAGAAACCATAGGAGAAAATCTTCTTGACAGGTTAGGCAAAGAGTTATTAGATATGACACCAGAAACATCCATAAAAGAAAACCGTTGATAATGTGGGCTTCATTGAAATTAAAAACTTTTATACTTCAAAAGATATCAGTAAGAAAATGAAAAGACAAGCCACAGAGTGGGAGAAAATATTTCAAATCATGTAACTAATAGGGACTCGTATTCAGAATGTATAGAGAACTCTTATAGGGGCACCTGGCTGGCTACGTTGGTAGAGCGTACAATTCTTGATCTCGGGGTTATAAATTCGAGCCCCACATTGGGTGTAGGGATTACCTAAAATCAAGTCTTAAAAAAAAAATTCTTATAACTAAATAAATAGACAATTCAGTATAAAAATGGGCAAAGATCCACCAAGGAAGCCCTATGAATGACTTAGAAGGCCATGAAAAGATGCTCACCACCATTACTCACTAGGGAATACAAATTAAAATCATAATAAGATGCCACTAATACCCACTAAAAGGGCTGTAATCAAAAGATAGTATCAGGTATTGGTGAGGATGTAGAAAAACTGGAACTCTCATACATTGCTGGTGGGAATGTAAAATGGTGCAGCTACTTTAGAAAGGTTTGGCAGTTTCTTAAAAAGCTAAACATAAATTTGCCACATGACCCAGCAGTTCACTCCTAGAAACATCCTTGAGAGAAATGAAGACATATGTTTACACAAAGACATATGTGAATGTTAATAGCAATATTACTCATTATGGCCTCAACCTGGAAAGACTACAGGCCTATTAACTGGTGAGTAGATTAACAAAATGTGTTCTATCCAAAAATTGGAATGCTATTCAGAAATAAAAGGTAACAGGCTGTTGATACCTGCTACAACATAGATGAATCTGAAAAACATTATGCTAAGTAAAAGAAGGCAACTACAAAAGGCAACATATTTTATGAGTCCATTTACATGAAATATCTAGGAAGGTCACATTTATAGAGACTAAAAGCAGATCACTGTTTTCCTAGGGCTGGGGATGGAAGTGAGGATCAACGCAAATAGCATGAGGAAACTTTTTAGGGTGATCATAGTGTTCTGAAACTGGATTGTGTGATGGTTCCACAACTTTTTACATTTATTAAGAATCACTGAATTGGGGGCGCCTGGGTGTCTCAGTTGTTAAGCGTCTGCCTTTGGCTCAGGTCACGATCCCAGGGTCCTGCGATTGAGTGTCATATTGGGCTCCCTGCTCCGCAGGAAGCCTGCTTCTCCCTCTCCCACTCCCCCTGCTTGTGTTCCCTCTCTCACTGTGTCTCTTGCTGTCAAATAAATAAAATCTTAAAAGAAAAAAAGAATCACTGAATTGTACACTTACACCAGATGAATTTTATGCTATATAAATTATCCCTTAGTAAAGCTGTTAAAACAAAACATGAGGATGCACGAAAGTCTCAAGACACATTATTTCAGCATGCCCATGAAAGAAGTAACTGGACGCCTCAGATTTTGGCACAATATCTGATTAATGTCACAGTGTGCTTTGGAATAGGAAATTGATAGGTGTAACTGCCCTATTATGAGTTTGAGAGAACCAAAGTGAGTTACTCAAGGTCATGTTTAAAATCAGTTGAAAAGCCATAAACTCAGATATCCCCCACCACCCCACAGCTACAGTGGTGTTAGACATAGCTCCCTTTCAAGGAAATCTCGTCGGTTGGCTATTAATCAAGTCCATTGTCACTAGGGTTGAATCAAGCAGTTCTTTCCTTTCCTATATTTTTGTTTTCCTTTGATTCACCACTTGGATTCCTATTACTCACTAAATCCTTCCTTTGTAGCTCTTGCAGTTCAACCCTGTGGAGCGTCTTGGTGCTGGAGTTGCTGGTGTTGAAGATATCAAATCTCATCCATTTTTTACCCCTGTGGATTGGGCAGAACTGATGAGATGAGCATAAGGCAGGGTTATCTGCACACATTCCGACCTTCTCTGTGACAGGCATCTCCAGCACAGAGGCAGCCCTGCCTCACACTCACCGATGGAGCACCGAAACATTGGGATAAAGACCTTTAGAGGAAATGGAAGAAAAAGGCTGGAAGAGAACAGTTTCTTTACCATTACTCTCTGGACAAGATATTGGCTACATTTGCAAGGGGCATTTATGTGCAAACCTTTAAACAAGGTGTGATCTTTATTTTATCTGCATTTAGTGTTGCAGATGAGTTGTAAATCCAACTGAAAGAGGAATGCCCTTCAAGAACTTCCTCTGAAAGCTCCAAGTGTACATTTAAGTGTTAGTTGAAAGGAGGACCTTTACATGGCAGCTAATAGTGCTTTCTGCTAAGCAAGATTGGTTTATATGATCATAATTAATATTTGCTGAATAATACACTAAAAGTGCTTCATGAGTAGTGTCATCTATGGAGCTTAAAAATTGAGGAAGAAGAATATATACATCATGTCTGATAGAAAACATCTACCACGATGCTATATAATTAATGTATGCTGAATGTGGTTCCATATTATTTCATACTTTCAGAAGTCCACTGAGAAGAAAACGCTCACGTTGCCAACTTCGTATACTTTGTTGGTTGGTACTGCTTAGGAAGGGTTCATAAAAACACTGTCTCTCTTCAACTATCTTTCTGCTCCCTATACCTGTTGCTTGTTCTCTCATATTCTGTTCCCTCTTCCTCCACTCGTACATATGCAACAAAAAGGGAAGGGAGTATTTATTTCCCCAAATTGTATCAACTTAATAAGGACTAAGAAATCATGATTATAAAATAAATATGATAAAAATGGAAATCTCTCCTTCATTTAATTGCTTAAGTTTTTTGTTTTGTTTTATTTTAGAAAGGCCTCTCTTTCTTTCATCTTGGAATTTTAGCAATTTCTGCTGCTTCTTATGCTTAACTTCATTTTAGGGTTTTGGTTTAGTGTAGTAAGAACCAAAGGATCTCATCTAAATGGAATTGAATGGCAATCCTATTTTATTACTTAGTGACAGGATTTCCAGATCTGACCTAATTTACTTGACATGATACAGAAAGAATATGAGTATTCATATCTCTCCAGACATTTGTTACTTGTTATTTCTGTGTGTTGCTAAGATAGCTCCTGCATTTGTGCCTTGTTTATAATAATTTACAAATGTTTCTAAAGCATTAATGTCTGTTTTTAAAACTTTATCCAACGAAGAAAGAATAAGTCACTTTTTCGGAGTTAGGAGCCATCAGAAATAATGAAGGTTTTCCATATATTTTAATCCTTTGAGTTTTGAGATCTATATGGGAGCCCATTCCTTCTCCACGAGCATCTCTACAGCTTCCATCTGCCGTCAGCTAGGTCCTGCCATCAAAGTAAATGGAAGCAGAAAATGCTTTAGTGAAACAAAGGAAATGTGCAAGCATTTTTTTCTTTTTCTATTTTCCTACTTCCCCCTTTTCCTTCTGGTTCCCTTATAACCTGAACCTCAGATGAAGGACTGCAACAACACCAGGATGGGGAGCAGGTCACCAGGATCAAAGCACAATCAAGATGACATCACTCCCTGGAACTGGGTTTCAATTCACCAGCCCTCCCTGGCCTCATAACAGGAACTCGTGCAGGTGAGACTAAAGAATGACTTCCTGTGTAGGACCAGTAGGAAATCTGCAAGTACTTAGAGCTACCCGTGGCAGAGCTTCCTTCCAGAAGTGCCCTATGACATGAAAGTAGGCCTTCCCAGCTAAGGTGAAGCTCCCAGCCCTGCCACGTGATTTTGGTTCCTTGGATTCAGGACAGTCCTGTCAACAGATGGCTGCTGTGTCAGTGTGTTGACCGGTCTGTTGCTTCAGTTCCCTCTTTCTCTCTGTATGTCTGGTTGGAACTTAATGTAAATACGTCATCCGTAATCATGGTGGACATGAATTATTATAGTAAGGAACACATAGGATATGGCTTTGGGGTGACAGACCCAAGTCTGTTTTTATTTGATGATGTATATTAAAATATTAGTATTTCTAATGCTCTGGATGATCCTGCTTTTTTGTTGTTGTTTTTAACTTTTATTTTTTTGAGCATATGGCCTGTAGGTCCAAACATAACTTGCCACTCTGTATTTTTCATGTGATTTTCTTATTGAAGTAAAACATACCTAACATAAAATTGACCATATAACCACTTTTCAGTATACAGTTTATTGGCATTAAGTACATTCCCATTTTTATCCAACCATTACCTTTCCATTATCCCAAACTGAAAACTCTGCACCCATTAAACAATAACTTCCCATATTCCCCTTCTTCCCAGCCTCTAGTAACCACTGTTCTACTTTCTGTCTCTATGAATTTGACTCTTCTAGGTCTCTCATATAAGTGGAATCCTATAGTATTTGTCCTTTTGTGTCTGGCTTATTTAACTTAATGTAATGTTTTCAAGGTTCATCCATACTGTAGCATATATCAGAATTTAATTCCTTTTTATTTATTTATTTATTTTATTATTATTTTTTTTAAGATTTTGTTTATTTATTTGAGAGAGAGAATGAGATAGAGAGAGAGAGCATGAGAAGGGGGAGGGTCAGAAGGAGAAGCAGACTCCCTGCTGAGCAGGGAGCCCGATGCGGGACTCGATCCCGGGACTCCAGGATCGTGACCTGAGCCGAAGGCAGTGGCTTAACCAACTGAGCCACCCAGGCACCCCTGAATTTAATTCCTTTTTAAAGGCTGAATAATATTCCACTGTATGTAGAGACCACATTTTGTTTAGCCATTCATCTGTCATTGGACATTTGGGTGTTTCCTACCTTTTGGTTGTTATGAACATGGATGTATAAACATCTGTTCAAGTCCCTACTCTGATTTGATTTTATATTTTTATATGAAATTACCAGTGTCACTGACTGTTATTTTATGGTGCTCTTTGTAAGAGAGCTTTTCCACCAGGTGGTCAGTAACATGGTAGTATAATGTCACCTATCGTAAGAAAGGATATGAAAGTCAATCATTTCTGTTTCATAGAAACAGAGATGAGTTCTCTACGAGTAAAAAAGAATGCCATTATTTTATCTTTCTTTCTTTCTTTCTCTTTCTTTCTTTCTTTCTTTCTTTCTTTCTTTCTTTCTTTCTTTCTTTCTTTCTTTTTTTCTTTCTTTCTTTTCTTTCTTTCTTCTTTCTTTCAGATTTTATTTAATTATTTGACAGAGAGAGAACACAAGCAGGGGGAGTGGCAGGCAGAGGGAGAAGCAGGCTCCCGGCTGAGCAGGGATCCCAATGTGGGACTTGATCCCAGGACCCCAGGATCATGACCCGAGCTGAAGGCTGTCGCTTAAACAACTGAGCCACCCAGGTGCCCAAGAAGGCCATTATTTTTGCAATTTAACCATTACATGGGTTAAGACTTTTTGAGACACAGAACTTTTCAACTTACTTGTTATAATAACTGAACTCTTGAAAACATATTTAAACCTGCCTTTTAAACATTTTAAAACAGCTACAAATTCTGTTGTATTTTGACCCTCAAGTTTTTTCTATCCTGTCTTATTTCAGTCATTGTGAGCCATGATCGAGTTTTGCTTTCATATAATGCATGTACTGAAGAGTATAAAATTTATAAACAATACTGACGCTATGGCCAAAAACACTGTGTTAGGACCCCATTCCTAATACGGCTTTGTTGAATTCAGTTGCCCATATTTATGAGTCCAAGCAGAAAGAAATCTGACTGTAGTACTGAAAGGCTCTTCACTTTAGCCAAGTGACCCCTTATAGGATCTTTATTGGACTCACATAGGGCATGCTTCATAAGCTGGATCATTTTTCTTCTTAAGAGTAGTTGAGTAGTAGTAGTTTAGCTCTGGTACAGCTAAAGCTCTGGAAAATGCAGCCTAATGTTTCAAGCTCTTTCTTTGAGGATTGTGGAAAAGAATAGCAAGTCTTTTGAGTGGTGTCCTGGTCCTAGCTCTGTGAGTAAACTAGCATTTTTCCTTAATCGAATCACAATATTCTAGACCTATTCCCTTACCTATTGAATGAAGTAGTAGGTGAGTTCTAAGCTCCACAGCATATGATGGACTTTCTATTTTTCAGAGTGAACTGAAATTTGATAAACTAACCTGGTAGAAAGACAAGGTTAGTGAAAATCTTAAATTGGTACTTAACTGTTTTCTTACAATTTTTTTTTTTTTTTAGTAATACCAGCTACTTGGGTTGCTGCCATGTACTGGCTCAGCACATAGCCCTTAGTGGTTATGTGGCTATAAAAATTATAAATAGAATGAAATATTAAAAGGTTATTTCTCAGTCAGCTCTACACTGGAAAAGGAGAGTTGAAGGTCCAGAGAGAAGCACAGAGAGGTGAAAGGAGGTTAGACACACCTACATTTGCTCACTTCTTAGACCTTTCTCAACCACTGTGGTGGTATTTCTACCCCTCTTGCCCTCATCTATCATATGTTATGTGTTTATTTGACTCAGTTCTTTGGCAGGCGTAATCAGAGCACAAAATTGATACTTTCTGTGCCTATTTAATGCAGACATTAACCTCTACCAGTCTAGGTAATTTGGACTTCTGAGTATTTGATGTCTCCTCAGCTCATTTTAAGGATTTCATATTAAGTCCTTATGCTGAAGGGTTCCTAAATGGCAAAAGCTGTGAAGTCGGCTCTTTCTAAATAAAGTTGTAAACATAATAGCAGTGGGGAAATGGGAAGCAAAGTACTACAGGTTTTTGTGACTGGCCATCACTTACTTTCTCAAGGACAGTAACTAGGAAGCTGGAGAACAAGCTTCCTCTTTGGCAAGATTTACGGCAGTGGTGACACAGAGTCAGATGGTGTGGCTTGGCACTTTTTGTCCCAATCACATGACTTCTTCCCTGGATCCAGGTATCTCACCTCAGAAAGAGAGGCGGAGAAAATTGGTGGTGGTGTAAGAGAGAGAGTAACTTGAAGGGGGTGGTCTACGGAAGTGAAGCAGGGCACTTGTCAGGCGTGCTGGCCCAGTTGTCCGGAGCAATAGAGAGCCGGCTTTGTTGAGCTAGATTTAAAGGGCAATTCTTTGTTCTTCTCCCAGGAAGAGGTAGGCAGAAACTGAAACTCCTCCTATTCCAGGAAGAGAGATCCAAACTGCCTTTTTGGAAAAGGATTAAATGACAAGCTTATCAGAGTCTCTTCTATCTCCATCTCCTTGCTGAAGCTGCTATGGCTGGTAGTAAAGGAAGAGACCCTGAGTGTCTGCAAAGAGCTACTGTGATTTCTTTTGGGCAGGAATACCTCCTACTGAATGTTGTGAGAAAGAGTGACAAACAAACCAGCTTTTGGTCACATTTAAGAGTTGTGCTATCCTGTTTTGTAAACCCCAAAGAAATTTCATCAAAAAGGTAACCACAAGGCAGGAGTTTGACCAACCCCACCGGAAAAGACAAACGTCAAGAGATTCGAGTCTATTTCAGTGATAATGATTGCAGTGTGAGGTTGCCTTTTTCATGTGGGAGATATACATGAAATTGACTCGAGAGTGACAGAAAACAAGAAGAAAAGTTGTGGTGTTGGCAAAACAAAAGAAAACTCATATAACTATTCAGTCTCTTGGGATTGTCCTGGAGAGAAAATGGGTTAAATATTTGAAGAATCTGTCTTCAGTAAAAAAGATTCTGAATAAGAAAATTTTAAAACTGAGTTTCCCCCCTCACCATGCCCTCCTACCGTTTGCTCATTTCTTCCTTTTTCTCTCTTCATCTCCTCTTCATCTACCCTTCTTCCCTGTTCTGGACTTCTCTGGTCACTGAACAAAAGACATGGTGCCTATCTTCAAGGACCTTGTAAAACCCAGGGAAAAGAAAGCATAAATAATAAGTAGGGCAGATTGTTGTAAGTGTTCTAGGGAACAAATAGAGTATGGTGAACACACAGAGGAGAGATCTGAGGAACTGCAGGGAAGCTTCTTGTATTGGAACAGTAGCCTGAAGTTTGAATAGTATTTTTAAATGTGAAGATTTAAAAAAAAAAAAAGATTTTGTTTGGGGAGAAGGAAGAATTCCAGGGGAGCAAAAAACGAAACAAAACAAAACAAAAATCACACACACACAATTGTGTACAAAGAACATGGAGATGGGGAAATGTAAAGCTGTGCATATTGTTTGGACTGGTTTATAGGTATAGGAATTTGAACGGTAGGTTGGGGCCAGGTTAAATGCCGTGCTGAGACATTTGGATTTCATTCTCTAGGTTGTGGGGAGCTGGGGAAGGTTCTTAACTGACATTATTGCAGCCTGCCGTTGAAAAGATAATTTTAGGGTGAGAATGGAGAATAAATTGAAGAATGGTTAGAGGCAGAGAGCTCAGGAGTTATTGCAGAAATTCAGGCAAGAGCTGAAGTCCTGAATTAAGGTGGTAGAAAACAAAGGAGGGGGTACATAATCGTCTTCTTGTCCATGTCTCTTGTGTATAGAGTAGAGTTTCCCTATCAAATAATTGCTTTCCTTTTTCCTTGAAGCCAGTTTATACCAGGAGATTATGGATTTGTTGTTTTTAAAATCACCCCCAAGGAATCACCAGAGAGACAAACCAGGGGAGCTTACACCCTCTCCCCATTGGTTGATAATGATATTTACTATTCAGAGCTTAAAA